AAGGTCTTTTGAACATCTCAACTGATGTGGAAATGTGCCCTGATGTGCGACTTCACACAGCACACTAAAATCATAATATGATGTCGCTTGAACCTTCGCCATCTGTAATTGAAAACCCTCTTTGTGGCTTAGCATATTTTACAAACTGAGCCTTTTGTGATTCAGACATTGAAGCAGGGTTAACAAAACCATAACTTGAATGAGATGGAAGAACCAGGTCATTGAATCTCAACTCTCCAAAGAGACTTTGTAAAACTCCAAGAATACTTGTCATTTGCATCTGGAATAGTTTCATTTCATTGTTAAAAATCCAGCTTCAAAATCAGGTCCGTTCATAAAGGCTGTTTTCTTTGATTATTAATTTCAGGCAAATCCTAACTTGGTTGAGCTAATGAAGCAGTGACACTCTTTATAATCTTTTTAGTATGTTAATATTTGCATTTACATACTTTCAATTTACATAAATTACATTACATTACATGATTACACTGCATTACAATACATTCCATTCATTGACTTAATATACTATAATAAATAGGTTTATCACAAACCTATCCCCATTTTAGCTGAAAATGTGAAAACCCAGCTTGCAAAAGTTACTTGATAGTTCAATATGTTCTGTACAGCCAGAAAAACTGGATTCCTCGTGTAAAGCATTAATAGGTGAACACAAGTAAATGTAATAATACAGAATTGAAGAAGAGGAGGTAAATATGGGTAACTGAATTATATTACGTGTGAAAAATAAGGACAGATTGGTACTTAATAGAACAGCCATGAAGTCCTTGCAAAAGATTAAAATGCTATCATGTGTTTGTACCCCGAAGATCAGAATAGTGCAAGCCATACACTGCACTTCCGTGACACTCTACGGAAGGAAAAGTTGAAGAAGCAGGATAGAAAGAGTATTGATGCTTTTGAAGTTTGGCACTGGAGAAAACTCCTGAGAATACCGTGGACATCCACTAAAACAATGGACCATTGAACAAATCAACCCACTCGAAGGACAGATGACTGGCCTCAAATTATCTTACTGTACTTCAGACACATCCTGTGAAGATTTAGCTCTTTGGATTAAAGTCTCATGTTGGGAAAGGCGGAAGGAAACAGAAGATGTCTAATAGCAAGGTGGATTAATTTTCTTACAGTGGCCCTGAGTGCACCATTGGGAGATTTGAAGCATGAAGTTAAGGACAGATCATCATGGAGAAATCTATCTATTGCAGGGGTCTTCAAACCTGGCCCTTTTATGACTTGTGGACTTCAACTCCCAGAATTCCTCAGCCAGGCACACGTGCCTGGCTGAGGAATTCTGGGAGTTGAAGTCCACAAGTCATAAAAGGACCAGGTTTGAAGACCCCTGATCTATTGGGTCACTAAGAGTTGAATTCGGCTTGATGGCATTTAATCAGTCAATCTTGCTCCTAACCATGGCACAAAGATCCCTTTGTCTTCGCATTCTCAGCCCATGAATGAATGGGGCGAGCTTCAGTCATCTTTAGCTGTGTTGAGATCAAATTTGACGGTCGTATCTATACTTTTACCCTGGAATTTGTCCAGTCCAAATTTGTAAGACCTATCCTTGCTGTTCGAAGATGCATCAAAAATGCTGCCTTATAGATACAGGCTTTGTTTATGTCGTTGCCGGAACCTAGTATTATCACGTTAATTTCATGGGTCATGTGATCGTGACTTTGTCTATGGAGATTTTCAGTGATCCAGGTCATGGTTGTCTCAAGGTGCTTTTTCACGAGGCAACTGGACTTAACAATTGTGGCAAGAAAGATTGTCAAATGGGGCAAAACTAACTTAACAAATGTCTCAGAAATTTTGAGCTCAATTGTGGTCATAAGCCAAGGACTACCTGTATATTATTTTATATGTACCCACTTTTTAAATTATAACTCATAATGTAGCACATTCTGCCGCAATAAAGATTTGTTGTTGTTGATGTTGTGTCTTTTCTTTCTCTGACCAAGAACAGCCTCGAATTGTGTAGAAATCTGCTTGCCTCCAGTGTTTGGAGAGCACTCAAGTCAGTCCCTGGGAACGGAGGAAGGGCTGGACGTGGGTTGGCAAGGAAAAGAAAAAAATTCAGGCTGGTCTAGTTTTCTGCCAGTCCAAGGATGGGTGGGGAGGAACTCAGCCTGAGAAAAAACGTCTGTTAAGCCTTGTTCCCCAGGAATATTGTACTTGAAAGAGCCAGCCTGCCCATTCATGTTTAAGATGACAAATGAAACAATTCTCTACAAATAAATCTGTTTCGATTTTGTTCCAGACATCCAGAATTCTCTGGTTCTGAAATCCCTGGGCTACCGTTATTTGATTTTGTGTGCTGAGCTGTGATATTTTACCAGGTAAAACAGGTGAATTTTAGAGCTTAGGCTTTAATTCTTTAATGCTCCCCTCCCTTTGGATGGATACACAGGTGCAAATAAAGGTTGTTTAAATATATTTTATTCTATAGCAGTGGTTCTCAACCTGTGGGTCGGGACCCCATTTGGGGTCGATCGACCATTTCACGGGGGTCGCCAAGCAAGGCTGTCCGCCATTTTTTTTGTCCGCCATTTTTNCGGCATTAAAAAGGTTGAGAACCACTGTTCTATAGTATAGTGCAGGGGAAGTCAACCTTGGCTCTTTTATGACTCGTGGACTTCAACTCCCAGAATTCCTGAGCCAGGAGTTGAAGTCTACGAGTCATAAAAGAGCCAAGGTTGCCTACCCTTGGTATAGTGAGATGAATAAAAAGTAAATAGTACTAATATGAATAACAGAATAACAGAATTGGGAGTTTGGAGGTCTTCTAGTCCAACCCCCTCCTCAAGCAGGAGACCCTATACTAGGGGTCCGTAACCTTGGCAACTTGGCTGGCTGAGGAATTCTGGGAGTTGAAGTCCACAAGTCTCCAAGTTGCCAAGGCTGAAGACCACCAGCCCTATTGGAAAAGACAGAGATCCGGTGGAGGTTGGGAAACGTTGCTTACTCGCGCGTAAGGCCCGTGGGAAGGTCAGCAGCGATTTACTCTCGAGTAGAGGCAAAGGAGGACCAAAGGACTCGACGCTCCCGCCCACCGACGTGTCAACTTGGGAGCGGCCCCGAAGGAAGGGATCGGGGGCGTCTGCAAGGCTGGAGATGCCCTCTTACTCGGGAGTCAGCACGCCTCCAACTTACTGCCCAAAGAGCACGGAAAAGGGCCGCGCAAGTCCGGCCCGGTTGCTGATGCGCGTCTGCTGGGCTTTACTGGCGACCGACGGGCTCCCCTGGATGGCAGAGAGGCCGGCTTACGCTTGAGGAAAGGCGCAGGCGAGGCGGGCGGCCCTTCTCACGGCACCGCTGCAAGCTTCCCTGCACTTACTCCCGAGTAAGCGCGCAAGGAGGGATCCAGAGGCTCCCTCGCCCGCAGACTGCAAAGATGCGCGCTGCGCGGCTTTCCAACCTGGCCTCCGCGCCTGCGCAGAAGCGCGCGCCCCCCCTCCCTCCCTCCCTCCTCGCCAGCCTCCCTCTGCCCAAATCGCGCGCACACACATACATACACAGACCGTGGCTGCTCCTTCCACCCGCCGCCCCTCCCTCCTCGCCCGTTTCCGCGCTGCTCCTTCCTCGCTCGGAGAGGCTGTTCCCACACCCCTCCCCCGCCGCCGGCTCCTCCCCGCGCGGGCTGTTCCGCTGCCAAGGGCCTCTCCGCCCTCCGCAGCGCTAGGGACCCAAGATGGCCGCCGTGTCAGTTTGGGTCTTCGCTGCCGTCTGGCCTCGGGCGCCCGGGCTCCGCCTCTCGTAGGCCCCGGTGAGTCTCGGGCGCCGCCGCGGGGCTTCGGCCGGCCTCGGCGGAGGGGCGGCGGCGGCGGCGGGGGCGGGGGCCGCCGGCCGCGCCGCCGAGCCGGCGGCGGGGGGGAGAGAAAGGGCCCTGCGCGGGCTTCTCGCGTCAGGCCCCGCGGCCTGGTCCGGCCCGGCCGACGCTCGCGCTGCGCCAGGCCCGCGGGGGCCGCGGCAGGTGCAGGCCGCCTTCGCCGAGGGCCGAGCCGCAGGCCCCGGTCCGCCCGCCCAGCCGGCCTGGGCCACGGAGCCTCCTCCGGGCGGCTCGCAGGCCGGAGAAGAAGCGGCGGC